AGCAACAACAGATCACCTTCCCCCTCAACTTGGAAAAACTTTTATTAACAGGTTAATAAACAACTCAGTGTTGCCTTTTAAAATGGAGGGAACATCCAATTAATTTACAGACAAGATTTTTAGCCTTCATTTAAAATAAATAAACATGATGCTGCAACAAGGAGGTAAACAGTTTTAAAACTAAATACCAGAATCTGCACACATTTTCAATTTTGAGACATAGAATTCTAGGTTTTTACAACATTCTGTACATTTGAATACATAATATAGTGTGATGCCGGCCATTTTCTATCTTTCTCTGCAATCTGGACTAACATTTTACTTAAAGGTATAGTACACCCAAAACATGATTAGCCTTCATTTTCTACTCACCCCCATGCTGAACAACACTCTGGAGTACTTTTTTGATATCTCAAATGCATCTGGAGATCTGGGAGGCTTCTTGCTGTCTGCTGACATTCAAATAATGGAGGTCTACGGTGCCCGAGACAGAAAGGTCCATAAAAGTCCACAAAAAATGTGTCAATATTCCTCCATACTGCTCGTCCAATGTATTCCAAGTGTCCTGAGTGGGTAGCATCCAGAATTTACTCGAAACGAAGTCATTTAGAATGTTTTTAGAGCATAAACAGTAGTGTATAGGATTTCCTGAAAGCGCGCGCCAGCGCGTTCAGGACGCTACGGAAGCCGGCAGACCAAACCAGATGAAAGTGCGCATTCAGCGTCTGCTCTGCCGATAATGCAAGCGTAGAAGAAGAAATGTCCTGTTTACCTGTGCAAAGAAAGAAACAACGAAAGAAAAATGTCTGAGGACTTCAGTGTTGAGGAAGAGCATGAGTTCTTTGCCGAGCTGAATGCGCACTTTCATCTGGCTTGGTCTGCCGCGGTTTCCGTAGACTCGTGAACGCGCTTTTAGGAAATACTATACACTACTGTTTATGCTCTAAAAACATTCTAAATGTCTTCGTTTCAAGTAAATTCTGGATGCTACCCACTCAGGACACTTGGAATACATTGGACGAGCAGTATGGAGGAATATTGACACGTTTTGTGGACTTTTATGGACCTTTCTGCCTCGGGCACCACAGACCTCCATTATTTGAATGTCAGCAGACAGCAAGAAGCCTCCCAGATCTCCAGATGCATTTGAGATATCAAAAAAGTACTCCAGAGTGTTGTTCAGCATGGGGGTGAGTAGAAAATGAAGGCTAATCATGTTTTGGGTGTACTATTCCTTTAAAGCACTTGCACTTATAAGGTCTTGACTAATGCATTTATAGAAAAACGTTAAAAATAAGCCAAAAGTCAGCTCTTTAATGCTTGATAAGTCAACTTTTACTGGCTATTAGATGATATGAAAAGTCACACTAGCTCATACTGGTTGAATCAAAAACCCTCTGTTGTAAAGAAAGAATGTGACATCATCACATATCATCTCAGGTCAATCCAAGCACACTGAGACAGCAGATTAAACACACATATGCCACTCTAATCTCTAATCTGATTGATTCTGTGTCCTTTAAACGAGTGGATCCCTAACAAACTAATAAATGAAGCCTTTCACTTACATGCTGGGTGGTGAAACCCCCCCATTATAAATCTTTGTCTGGATAATTAATAGCTGGTAGTTGGATTGAATCAGAGCTATTTGTTGTTTTGGATTATGAAAAACAGAAAGATGGGGTTTACTGTGTTGCATGTGGTCATGCCTTCATGTGCCTTTTGTACGAGCTGGCGAGCGGTCACGGCTTTGTCTCTGGGGAACCGCACACAGTGATATGCTGACAGCAAAAAAGGTGGTTGTGGGAAAACAAAAAGTGATATCTCCTGCTGCAAAGCTGCAAAGAGATGAGATCATCCAGCACACAATGAGCTATCCTCTGACATATTTTGTGCAAATAGGTCAACAGGTAGCTGACGTTTAAAGGCTGACATCTTGACTTCAGGCTCTGAAGGGAATGTACTTCATAAAAAAAGGGTGGGGGGTGAGGGGGCAATTTAAAGAACAAAGTTTCTTTTACACCACAGAAACAAACAGCTTTGTGAGCAGAAAGACAGTCAACTGCTTTGTGGGAATGATAAAATTATCTCTGTTCAACATTCCAAGTTTTGGGCAAGTCTTAAAAAAAATAGGCATATCAAAGAGCATTAAATACCACAACAAAAACACATACAAATTTTCATTTTGCTATATATAGTGAGGACCACGACTTCCATTCAGTGACTTTAAACTCTTAAGTCTAACCTTAAACTAAACTCACTTCACACCTCATCATAAGCCTTAAATGTCCTAATTTTATAACAACCGGACCTCATTTTGCACGTAAACTAAGAAAACTGGTTCACACTCAGATGGACAAACAAGAACACACACACACACACAAAAGATTGCATCCTTGAACATCTGCATATAGAGTCCACATCTGAAGGAATGCATATTCACATGCAGGGACATAGTTGGACACACATAATCAAAACCACGTCTAAAAGCATCAAGCGGCTCAAAGCAATCCGCCCTACTGAAAAACATCACCAAGCAAAGCCACTGTACCACATAATGAAAAACATACAAGCACTAACTCTATCATAGACCCACATATGCTTTCACTCAGGGGCGCAAAATAGTCACCGCGTTTACTCAAACTTTAAACACCAATAATTTATCATGACATTAATTCAAAAGACGATCCCCTCAACTCACAAAAGTTTGATTCCGACTGTTTAAAAAAAAAACAACAACAACAGAGGACAAATGATCAAACGATCCCCGGAACGTATTTCTGTGCAGTTAATGGATCATTTTTCCAAACTAAAAGTGCCGTGTCATCTCCCCAGCAGTTCTTGTTTTCATTTAGGAAGAATTTATTAGACTGTTTGTTTCAAAAGAATTTGAGTTAAACTGGAAAAGATTTCCTAATAACAACGAGTTCAAGTTTTTCGATGTTAATAAAGATTAAAGGATTATTTTTCATGCTGATACCCAGTTTTGGTAGTGCCTAAGGCCTGACCTGTCTAATCCATTTCTTTTTCCATTGTTTTGAGATAATTAAATGACTCTAACACATAAAAAAAAGTGTTACAGGTTGTTGGAGTTAATGGTTCTACATCCAAAATCAAAATCAAATGAACCAATTCCCCTTTTAAGCATAAAAGTACATGACCCTAACCTTTGTCTGATCTTTGGTAAAACTCCAAACGTTTATTAAAGTAAATAATGTTGGTTAATGAACTCATGGACCAAATATGGCAGAACACATTGGCTTTTAATGCATCTGCAGGACAGAATAAAAAACAAAACTGCTTTTAAAGTCTCTAACCTGATATTTAATATCTTCATTGAGACCAAAGTAGAACCTAAGTCAACCCATTGTGTGTGTGCACAAACTTTATGAGTAAAGCTGATTCTGAGGTGACAAGAACTATTAATTAGAACTGAATAAAAGGATTTCATTTGATTTATTTTGAATTCTGTCTAATAAGCCGGCATTTTTAAAAAAAATTTATCATCTCAAATACAGCTTAATAAATTAATATTTGTAAAATAATAATAACAATAATATAATTTTATAATCATTTTTTTCTAAGAAAATGTTAAACTGTTAATAATGGATAGAAATAGAATAATAAGGAGTAAAATACTTTTAAAGGACAAAAACAATGAAATTTAAGACAAACAATTGAGATGTACAAGATAGGCTGAACTAGTGAGTCTTTAATTTAGCTTTAATAATCTTCATAGAACGTGTTTGGTTAATATCTTCATCCAGAAGGATGGGGGACTAAAGAAAAAAGTTAATGCCCTAGAAGTTGATCTTCTAGCTTTAGTAATCTTATGAGGACCAGTGAAATCGGAGAGGTAACATACACGTGTAAGAGCTCAGAGGAATTAGAAGGTGTTAGACCATTAAAAGTCTTATAGGTGAACATCAAAACCTTTGAAAAAGTATGCAAAAGCACTACATAGAAACGTGGACAGGCCCATTAATCGATGACTCACAAAAATGAAGGTTTGCTATATAAGAAATTTAAAAAAAAAATGTACAAAAGGATTTGCAGAAGCTGCAAATGCAACTATAATTACCATACTCCTCTCCACAAACCACTGGAGAGGAGTATGTGATCACACATACATAATAACCTCCACTGTATGCATTTGCATTTCCTGTAGTATAACAGCTTGCAAAGGTGTCAGTGCATTCTTCCCTGCATGCCTAAAAAAAGTCAACAATTCAAACATGTAAGGCTGTTTAAATTAAAATAAGGTGTCCTTATATAGCACAAAGGTTACACATTATCATCATGAAGGGCTTACAATCACCAATAATTATCAAACAGATTGAGTCTATATCACGCCACTTAACCATTACTTACATATTTGGCACTGGCCAACCAGTTGATAAAGCTATTCCCTCTAATTTTCACTGTGAGGAACTAATGAGCTCTGCTAATGGGGTTTACTGAACTGGAATGCACCAGAACAGATTTGATGGAGGAGCAGCTAATGTCTGGCTATGAGTCACTAGTTCTGCCATATAATGTCAGACTTTCTGCAACATTTCATGAATGTGATCTCTAATCTACTAAGCAGTAGAAAAACAGATTCCCCCATTACGTACAAATGTTAATACTGAAACCCAGCACATGTAACGTTTAGAGGCAATGCACAGACACTTCCTTCAAAGGTATGAGTATGACAGGTGTGTCATCGTGCTTTGCTGCTCAGCATAAAAACATAAAGCTTCATGCTGTGAACTGTCATCTAAACTCACTAGAAGGAAGCCATGCTAATCCACAAAACGTTTAAGCTCTAAGAAGCAGACATGTCCATCAAAACTTAAGCTTCTTTGATATTATAGAAATATTAAAACATTTTTCCCTTTGGATAGAAAAAAAAATGAGTTTAATAAATTTGTACTTTTGTATTAAAACAGAGCTTTGCATTATTTTGTAACCAGGACATTAAAAAAGACATTTGACAGTTAAAAATAAACAAGTTATACCTGCGCTGTTCATCAGGTTATGAAAGCATCATTGCCGACTCCTGGCTTTGGCTTCAGTTTTGCTCTATGAGTTCGATTCCCCCGCTCGGTCCAGTAGCACGGCTCGCCTGCAGTTCCTCTCTTACTCCAAATGGAAGCAATGAAAAGCAGACACCGGGTTTACTAGTAGCCCTCCATCTCTTTAGGTCCACGTGAGTCCTTACAGGTCCTTGATTGTCAGAGTAGAGAAGGTTAAGCTTCTTTGTCTTGTGTTTAGAAAGATCCTCTACTGGGAGACACATCAGCTACGTTTGGTCCAGAGCTGCATCACCTCTTCTGCTTAACTACATGTCATGGTAGCTTCTGTTCAGCTCAAGTCTGGGTGACAAATGCTGCTCTGCTATCCTGTCATCTTATTATTTTAGGTCTTCAATCACTGCTGCCACTTTAACCTGGAAAGTTAAAGAAAAAAAGAAAACATCTTAGTAAAAATTTGACAATTTAAAATAGAGGTTATGGCCTGTCATTTATTTCAGTGCAAACATTTAATATTAAAGCAGTCTAAGCCCAGAAACTATTACCTTTAGCTAATACAGAAATGTATTAGCTAAATGTGAATTTACTTAAACGTAGTTGTGTGAATGTATTGGAAATGTTCCAGCAAATACCCCAATTATAGCTCAATCAGTTCAAGTACTGAAAAGAAAAAACAGTCAGAGCATACAGAGCGGTGCAGATAAATGATGGGGGACAAAACAAACAGCCTGTATCAACATTTAGGCGCAACTGAATCCAGCGTCTCACTTTCTCTAAAGTATTACTGACTCCATTTCAATATTGATTGCTCCATGAGTCCGAACGAGGCGGTCATTAATGAGTAATTTCCAGGGATTTCCATATCAAATTTCCAGTGGCCATGACCACTGACAATTACATTTCCTTTATTCTGTAATTCTAGCATTAAAAACACACACTCTTCTCGGCTCACCCCTTTTGTTGCCCCAACCACACAAATCACCCCCACCCTCCCTGCTTGTACCACGGCTCTCAGAGTCGTACAAGCAGTTTTAAAATAAAAACTCTTTACTCATTCTGCTTCTTTTTACTGTTAAAATAAAACCCACTACCAGCTAAAGGCATGTTTTAAAGTCTCTATACTCCATTTAATGATTAAACGATTACTAAATTAGTTGATGTTTTTTTCAATAATTGATTAATCACCATTAATCCGATTAATTGTTGCAGACCGAGTAGAAAGCATGTTACTGGTAAGGCAACAGCTGGTTGTGCAGCTTAAAGTTACAGTCAGGGTAGAAGAACTGAGCCCAGCCGTTAAATAAAAGGAGAGCGAAAGCTTGTCACCACCTAGACATAGACCTAGACATATCCTGTGACGTTATGGGACGTGTGAATTGATTCATTTTTTTCTGACTGAGCTCATTTTTGCTGAGATAAAGGTTTGGTTCATGCTAGAAAAAGTTACTGGGGTTGTAAAGGTTTGTTGTGCCTCAGTAAAATAAAATTGGCTGGGATCTGTTTTGTTTTTAGAAGTGCAAAATAAATATGGGTTTTATTAAAAAAAAAAAAAGAACACTGTGAAGACTAGAGCATCGTTGAGACATGGTGGAGAAATTTTAATAGAATGATTTTTTTTTAAAAAGAACTCATTGTAAATTGTTGCATAAAATTATAAGTTTTAAAAGTTAGCTTTTTAAGAATCAACCGTTCACCATTAATCTGTATTTTCTTAATAAATCCTGAGTTATTTGTGAACATAATCTTTGAGGCTTGTTTGTCTTCTTTTATATATGGAGGTTAATCATGAAAAAGAAACTAAGGAAAAAAAAACTATTTTGATGAAAAATCTGTCCTTTTTTTTTTTTTTTACAATTATTTCTAAAATATTATTTTGTATGATTGTTTTTGACTTACTTGGCATCTTTTTTTAGGCATTTATATTTATTATATCAATTTCAGAAATATATAGTATCAACTGATACTAAGACACATATTGAGATAGAAGTTTTAGTCATATTGTCCAGCCCTACTCTGGGTGTGTGTTTACAATAGTATTCTGCTGGAAGAACCAGTCTCAAGTCTTAAGCTATAGCTGAACGTTTTCTTTCAACATCCCATGATGCTGCCACGAACTTGAATTCTAGGAATAGTCTGTTGGGCTGACCTCATCTAAGTAAAGAACCTTTCTGTAACCCTTTACTGTATGCACATTTAATTATGTCTAAATAAAGAATTCTCCCACCTGAGCTGTGCAGCTCCTCTTTGCTGCTTCTTGATGAATGACAATTGTCCAGGGGGGTTCACAATTGTGCAATACTCTTTCCACTTTCAAAGTGCAAGTATTTTAACACTGTTTATATCTAACACTTGTCTGAATTTGTGATTAAATCTCCCCTAAACCTGTCTGCTGTTTTCCTTGATCTTCAGTTCAGTAAATTTACCTAACAAACTAGGGATGCACGATATAATCGCCCTTCTATCGGTATCGGCCTGTATCGGCCTTAAAACTGAATATCGGACATCTGCCACCCCACCGATATTTAACCCGATATTTGATCAGCTTCTGAGTTTCTAAAGTCTAAAAAAAAATAAAATAAAATACTACTTCTTCTTCTTCCTCAAAAACTTCTTTTTTACAGACTTAAAAACTTCTAAAGACAAGGGAAAAAATATTGATACATTAAAATATCACAATATCTTCATATGCTGATATATTGCCATTTAAAAACACCATATCAATCTCTTTTACTAATGAAATATTGCTATATGTCATCGTTATGCTACGAAATCCCCCGAAAATCCACAAAATTTTGCCATATTTTTATATGTTGATATATTGACGCGGTATCGATCTATTTTACTAACAAAATCTCACAGGAATTTGCAAAATATCACGAGAGTTTGTAACAGAACGATGAAATTTCACGAGATTTTGAAAGTAAAATAGATCGATACCGCGTTTTTAAAAATCTATTTGATATCAGCATATTAAAATATACTTGAGTATATTATTTTTCAAAGTGTCAGAAATGGATAACAAAACTGCTATTTTCAATGACTACTTATTTTTGTCCAGCTTTAACATCGGTATCGGTATCGGTTATCGGCTACATGAGTTTTAAAATATCAGATATCGGCCAAAATCCCAATATCGTGCATCCCTATAACAAACCTCTGAGACCTTCACATAGCAGCAGCACTGGGTTTTATTCAGGGATATTGCAGGAAAGAAACCATGTATCATTTCCCTTCTGTTTCACCATTTGTGCTACTCTGGGTTGGTTTACCGCATAAAAGTAAAAAGAAAAACATTCAAATTTCTGGTTGTAAAGTGTGATAAATGTGCTCTGCAGTGTACAACATATCAACGGTGGGTTAGACAAGTTTCTAAACATACACACAGCAGAGTTAAAGAGAGTCGTCCATTGTTTGAAACTCGCTACACATGCATTATGCAACGTAGGATATGAAAGGGATGAAAATGGATAGTGTTCTCATCCCAGACTCCCCACTCAGAGGTTTACCTTTGCTCCTGACCACTTCCACATGCAGCTCTAACTTTGTTTGCACCACAAATAGAAATACACACCAGGAACAGCCTGTTTTTATATGGAAAAAAAAAATGGAAATCTAACCATTATGACTCACATATGAAATTATGAGTCATTTTAGACTCTCCCATCCTAAAACAGTCATATTCTGTAAAAAGGATGAAAACAAAAAACATGTTTTTCTGATTAATAAAATGTCCATATATGTCCTTCCTGCTTTAATAACACACTGTACAATATTCTAAACAAATCACACATCAGCTTATAAATCCCAAATTACTGCCACAAAGGATTATATTCTGATGATTTCTCTAGGCTATAATATCCTGACTCTGAAGCAATACACACACACCAACACACATGCTTCCTGTTGTCTCAAGTCTGACCACATAATAGTATTAGCTATTAGAGCTGCGAGAAAGTACGAATGTTTTTTTAAGCTGTGAGGGAAAGCAGAGAGAGAGAGAGAGGAAAACAGGGAAGCTACTTACTGATTAGTAGAACAACAGGAAAAGAAAGGAGAAAGAAAAGGTTGAAAGGAGTGAGCGTAACTAAATATTTTTCCTTCTGGAGCTCTGACTCAGTTCAGCTCCTGCTTAGTCATTTAACTTAATCACAGTCATCCGTTGCCTCGCTGCTTTTTATTCTGCATTGTGTGTTCTCTTTATTTCTCCACAAAGACTTATCTCACTTTTTTCATCCTAAACTACTTTAACGTCGCTCCTTGTGTAACTCCAGCTTCTCTGTCTCAGTTTTCCACTTAAGCCGTCAGTCCTATCAATCCGTCAGCAGAGCTCCCTGTCATTTTTAAATGCTTCTTCTGTCTGCTTTTCCAACTGTCACTGTGGCTAAGACCCCCACCCATACCCCCCCAGAAGCCACAATCACCACCTCCTGCCCCCCCCGAGAAGACCGTGTGTGGTCCAGTCTGACTATAGAACATTACATTGTTCCAGACAGGTTGGACTGCGCCACTAGCCAGCAGACGGTGGGAGGCGGGGTGGAAGGTGGAGAGCGGGGGTTCCTAGGGAATGTTTGTTTTTCTGTTTCCAATTTGGTCCAGCCCAAGGAACTCCACACTCCGCTCCGTCTCAAACACACCATTCATGACGGCCTGACGTACATGATTACACACAAACACTCGCTCGGTGAGCCTCAGCTCGCCCACCACACACACACAGATGTGTACATGTGCACATACCCACACATGGTAAGCTACTTCGCTGCCCATGAAATGCACATACGTACATCAGCGCTGAGATTTATGCACACATGGCTTCATTCCCAATCATTTTAACCATGAAACATAAGCCCTTTAATTTATCTTTGTTCTCATCTTATATTGTTTTCTGATTTGTTATTGCTAATGCCATTTCAAATGACATGGTGGTCAAAATAATTATGCCTGCTTTTTCCTACGTCTTTCCAAACACACCACGATTTTTGGGAAAAAGATCATCTCTGAAAGGCCTTTTTGATGTGTTTTGCTGAGTTTTTAGATGTTATATAGACAAAGTTTAAGCTCCATGTTCCTCCAATTAAAACACAGAGGGCATATTGTTTTATGCTGAACTGCTCCATCTGAAACAGATTATTTTAGCAATTTCTTTGTTTGGGATTTTCTTTATTTTCTCTGTTTATCGGGTTTACTGGAAAGGAAGGAGCATAGATCAGATCTAAATGTTAAAAGAGATGTGTTGGCAGCACAGATGTATTTACAACAAAAGTTAATTGATGAGAGGAATCAACAGATCTTTTTTTTTCCATGCACCTGCTTTTGAACTACAACAGTACTCCTCATTCCTGCAATTGTTATCTTGCCAGAGGAAGGGGACAATTTTAGGCAGAGACGCACATGGAAATCAACATTCAGTTAATTTTAA